AGCAAATGTCAATGTAAGTGTAGCTGACAGCAAGTTAAATTGCACAGTGCAGAAAGGTACAAGAAAGATGTTGAAGAGTTTCAAATCTTCTAGAGATTTTGTTGAGAGAGAAAGAGGGTCTGCAGTGGCTCTGAAGTCCGTGAAAGACTTGGCAATACCTTTTGATTCTATGTGAAAGATACTTAGCCACTAATGATGAACATTCATACAGATATTAAGGACTAGATGGCATCTTCCACTTCTTTGCAAGTCCCCCTCCACCATCAAGCTAAAACATTTACTTATGTTTTCCATTCCAGAAAAGCAAGTGAGAACTAGCACCATTTTACACAGGAAGGTGGATGCAGAAATAGCTGTATATCTGTAATTGTGAAGGTTTGTAGTCACAGCTGTGACATAGTCATGTCTCAAAATTTGAGTGCATATTTTTGCTGGAAATTTATTTCTCCCTCAATGAATTACTAATATAAGTCCATTGCTTCAGCCCTCAATCTATTTGCTGAATTCGCACTGCCATCAAATGGTAGTTGTGCACATATAGATTAAGAAAAATGCATATGTCTTTAACAAATAGCTGGTTATAAAAGTACTTTAAATAAGGGTATAAAGGCATGAAAGTGGGCATAAAATCTGTTGATTCTAATCAGTGTGTCACATATTGGAAAATAAATGTTACTTTCGAAGTGAAAGATATACTCCGCCTAAACTTATTTAAACTGTAACAGTAACTACAGTGCTAACATAAAGCATTGTACATACTGGGTATGGCGTTAGCATTTTCTAGATTTAAAATTTTTACTTCAGAGAACTTGTGTGACCTTGCTTTGAGCCTCTGAAAACTGTTTTACATAGCATCTCAGCTGAGTTCAGAGTGCTTTATAAGGTTAGCTTTGTGGTATATAAAACCAGAAAAAGTGTTTTCTGCATAAATTTAAAGACACATTTCTGCTATGAATCATGCTAGCACTTTGTAATGTTAATGTCTAAAAGAGCTCTCTAAAAATTGTAAGAATACTTAGAACTCAGCTTTACTGGAAGACTCTTTATTACAGAACTGCCATCACGACGTCGTTCAGAGCGCATCTAGTCACAGAATGCATCTAGTCAAAGGAGCTTATGTGAGCCCAGTCCTAATAGCCTCCTATAGACACTGGCAATACATCCCATACATTCTTAGCTGTGTATTGGTACAGGTTAAAGTAACAATGCTACGTGAGAACCCTAAGGCCTTTAAAAGAGGCTGTATTTTTTTAAAAGCAATTCACATTGGCTTTCATAAGGAATATAAATGACACAAAATGTTTGGGATAGACAGTTCCCTCCTTTCACTTAGGCTTTGTTATTCTTTTTAGCCTTTGCAGTTGATTGTACGCAACACAAGCCATTAAAATATGTAAGCCAGATACGAATCTGAAATAACCATGTTCATCACTTGCACTGTAATAGATGAATTAATGTGAAAAAATAAACACATTTGTAAACTATTAGGACAAAAACTGAAAATCAGGACTTTTATCTTGAGCAAACATAAGAGATCCTCTCAAGCACTGTCTAATATTTTGCACCTTTAGTTGCAGATTCTTTTTGAAAGGTTGAGAAGGGGGATCTATTCCACGATAGGTTTTCTTGCCAGCTTTTTTTTATCAAAACCTTTTTGTAACCAGCTATCAGCCGCAGCTTGTTAAACAAGCTACATAGTGCTGTCCTCTCCAAGAGGAAGAGAAAGAAAAAAAAAAAAAGTAAAAAAAATTTCAAAAGCAGTGTTAGCAAAAGCAGTAAGTTATGCAGAGGCAGCTGGTGAATTAGAATTCACTGTCTTTTGCTTCGTCTCCTACTTCACTGGAATGTAAACGTGTCAGATTCCTCCACATGCTAGTTCATCACCTTGTGATATTATAAAACCAGGATGTATCATAAGCAAATTTAGGTTGATACAAATATATCATCCCTTCAAAACAGATGCCCAAGGGAGCACACTCTACAAACTTTTGAAGTTTATAATTTAAATAGGTGGTATTTATAGAGGAGACATGAGATTAGAATTAAATAATTTATAATCTTGTTCTTTAATGTATAACATAATAGCCATAGCAATGTAAAAGAGCAGTTAAGTTCCCCTTGATATTAGCATATTCTACTTTCACAAGGTTTAGGGAAGAGGTACTAGTCCCAAAGTTGTTTAATTTGAGTCTCAGGCAGTAATCTAGTTTCTAAATTTAAAGTTTTGTTTATGAAATAAACATTTCTCCCTAAACATTTATTCCATAAGCAAAACTTCCATGTTGCATTTCTTTAATAGCCATATCTTGCCCTGTGTCTCCTGCCTTATTTCCTAATTTATTTTTATACATTTCAGAATTCCTCTCATTTTACATTTTATCTCCTAGATGACATCTCTTGCCTGAATTTGAGCTAAATGTTCATTTCCTGAAACAACTGTTTGTCCAAAACAGCGATATCAATCAGTGATACAACCATTCAGAAATATCTTCAGAGAGACTTAGATGCTTAAAATTCTTAACCTGTTTTATTGCAACTTCATGCACCATCACAGCCTTTATAAAATCTCTAATTTGCAATCTCACTGGTAAATAGTTAAGTACAGCTGTTCAAGCTACTTATCTGCAGCCAGCTCTGGTTACTTCAACCAGCTAGACTATGCTAGCCCATTACATTATATTTGAGATGATAAATATAAGTTATTGCATGCTAACATTTGTAGTTACACTGAAAGTAGCAGAATTGAGGGAATACAAAAAGTCACTTTTTAAAGAATAAGTTTTATTCAAGACGAAACTTCTACTATTGTAATAGTAAGATTTTAATGCAGCTTATTTCTCATGGTTTTAAATTATACAAACTTTGGGATAAATTACTTGTTAAATAGATTAACCAATTATCAGGACAGAATATTTTATTTTAAATGCTTTTCCTTAGCTTAGTCTTTAGTTTAAGCAGGACATACTACTCATTTCAATAAGGAATTCAGATTTTGCATCCTCAGAGAGGAAATGCACTTTATACATCACTGCTCCACTGTCCAGGTTAACTGTCCATATTGCTTACGCACTTTTTATTTTAAAAAAAAAGCATACAACATGTTTGAGAAATATAAGAACAGAAAAGGGAAAGTGATTGCAGTAGCTAATAAAAGCAGTTAATCCTTTAAAACTTGTACGTGTTATATTGTAAACAGATACTCACTTCTTGTCTGGCTGTTAAGATAAAAAAAAGACATAACAGCCCAACTGTTATTTTTGAAGTGTCAAAGTTTGAAAAAGTCATTTAACTTCTAGCTTCAGTGAGATCTTAACATTTGTAGAAGGCAAGTGATCAAAAATGGTTGGTTTTGTTTTTTGATTTTTCACATTTAGTTGAACTACTGAAGATTTATCCCTGTGCAAGATATGCAGAAGCATGTACAATTCAAAAATAATCAAACACTTTATCACAGTAATCAATTGTACAAATACAAGTGATGAACTGGTGAGATGGCACTTTTAAAGATTTAGATGTATAAGCACAAGCTTCCCATGACATATCATTGTAACAAGATGCATCATATAGAGAGACAGCAATGGGAACACCATGCAAAGTAGCTTGTTTTGTTCTCGAGTGGAGTTCTGTACCCCACTTTAAATAATAGGCTTCATGAAAGATATATATTATTTGGAAAGAGTCCATTGAGCAACATGAGGATTGTAGTTTCTACAATCTGATTAGAAAAATATTTCCTTCACATAAGGAAAGTTTTAAAAGATATGAAAGGCTATTGAAAAGAGGAGGAAAAAAGCCTCCAAATTTGTATTGGTTAGGACAAGGATTAATCTGTTTCACTTGCACCATGGCATGGAAGATTTAAATTGAACTGAAGTTCTACAGTTTTCTCAGGAAAATTAAGTAGCCCTTCCCCCCTCAAAAAAAAAATAAAAAGGGGGGGAGGGTGTGCAAAAAAGCAGTTAGCTCTCAGAAATGACACAATTAATTCTGAAGTATTTACACAGACTGAAGGACTGTTTACAAGAAGTTTCTAAACCACATTTTGGTGGGAAGCAACACTATTTCCCATTACTTTCTTTAAAAACTGTGATTCAATAATTTATGAAGATATGGCCGTATCTTCATTAGTTTCATTTTCCTTGTTATCTATAGTACATGCTCCAAAGATTTGAAAAATTCGGTTTCTATTTTACTTCACATTTGATAGCTTAGCATATTCTATTTACTTTTCCCCTTGCTTCATCAAATAGTAAAGACAAGCAAATGCAAACTGAGTTTTAACCACCTAAGAGGTACAATTTTATTATACATTACGCATAGATTGAGGGGAAAAAGTTCAGTAGCAACTAGAATAAAGTGTTAAGACCTGGATTTAAAAGTGTAATTAAGAACTGTCATGTTATTAATTTTAGGGCAGTTTTTGTCTTTGTTTTCCAAATCTAAGCAAGGTCACACATTCAACTATAGTAACATCTGAAGTGTGCAGTTGATTGCTGTTTCATTTTAAGCTCTGAAGAAATAAAGCATGAAGGGGTATTAAAAAGTATATTTTCTTTTTATTCACTTTCATTAAACACGTTTATACTTATGAAAAAGTCTACCAATTTAAAATACTAATTTAGATTAAAGTTATTGATTCTATAAATCACATATACTTGCAAGTATGCAGTGCTGACAAACTTCAGTGACATACATGAAAAAAAGAAGACAGTTCAATTTTTTAATTAGAAATACAACAGTATGTCACAATATATTGCAAGCTAGATGTTTATTTTAAACGAGCATGCAGCACAGAAGCAGTGTTTAATTTTTCTAGGATTTTGTAAAATTAATCTTTCCGGCTCTGCATTTCTTTACATTGTTGGAGCTATTTTACTAATTAACCAGTGAACAGGGAAAAAGACAAAACAAAACAGAAATTACTAGGGAAGTTGTATGCATTTAAGACATCCTGAGGGGCAGATAACTGTAACACTGACATCAAGGAATAGCCTGCCTACCTGGCCCACTTTCTGCCCATTGGAAAAACCCACACTGTTTTTCCTTTCCAAGACGGCACACAAAAAAGTTCCTTCCGTTATTAGGACCAATCTTCAACACAGTCTTCATAACGCATCGCTTGCCGTGGTTACAAAATGGAAAATCCAAGTCAGCCCACTGCCAAAAGAAACAAGTTTTAGGCACAGTTTTTGCATATGTGATGGCTATGAATTCCTTATTTTAAAATTGGAAATCTACAGGAAAGGCCCTAGAAGAAACTCTTCCTAGTAGTTAAGATAGTTTTATCTCTTTTGTGATCACTGATTTTATATTTTTCTTTAATTGCAACTGTGTGCACTTTAACTGATGTAACTTTAATTAACGTTAACACGGTTTTCTTCAAATTAAGGCATTATAGTCATTACTGTCATGAGTTTATCTATTGACTACCTAGTGGTAGGTGACTGAGTCAAACTCTTCTCAGTCACATACATTCATAGCAAGGAGCAATGGCCACCAGTTGCAGCTGGGAGGGTCAGGTTAGGTATTAGTGCAGCAGTGGGAACAGATGCCCAGGCAGATGACAGAATCTTAATCCTTGGACAGTTTCAAGATTTTGGCTAGACAAACATGGCTGATGTCTAGATCCAGAGTTTGCCTAGATCTAGAGTCCTCCTTCAAGCAAGAGGCTGATTTAGACAGCTTGTACAAGTCTCTTCAAACCAACATTTCTGCTATGCATCTGTTTTACATCATATAGAAGCAGATTAAGAGCATTTGCACAAGCAGGTGCCTTCTCAGCAGTAAGAGAAGTAACTAAGACTAAGTTTATAACTGCTACTATGCTCTTAGTTTCAATTCAGTGTGCAAAAGTATTTAAAATTATCCGAAACTTTAAACGGATTATATCTGTCCACAATTACAGATTACTGAGGGAAGGAGGCTGTAGGAACAAGTGCTTATTAGAAAACAGGCCCAGAAGTCTTATACATACTTGAAAGTAGTCACAAGAAGTTTCTCTGGGTAGAGGACAGGTATAAAACTGCCTGCCTTTGTTTTCTCCATCCTTTCTCACAATTCTGAGGCTGCAGAGATGGCCATGTTTACTGCAGCGAGGATGGCCCGTGCTTAACATATGAATATCATCTGTCGTATTAGCTTGAGGTATGCTGTAAAGACAGGTTACAAATGACTTCTGCATAACGTTAAAGGGATTACCAGCCAAAGAACTCTCTTATACCATTACAATAGCTCACTCAGTGTACTTTTACACACAATGACAGACAGAGAACTTAATTCTCTAATGCACTCTATTGCGCCTTTAAAGCTGAATGATTGCTAGTAGTGAATAGACAAGACTGTGATTTTCTTGCAGGTATTATACCAATTTTCCCCACCATTAGCCCACGTTTTAAATTATTTCAAAGTACTCAAATTAATGTACAAAACAAAATAAATATTACCACTGCTATTATACTGCCCACCCCAAATTCCAACACATTCTAAAAGAGTATTCTGCTCTCAGTGGGAAAAAAAAACAATACCAACTAATTATTCCATGTTGAAGGTATTAAAATGCTTCACAGAAAAGACTCCCACCCTCTTTACTAAAAAGTTACAGTAATGCTCCAAATCATATTTGGACAAGAAATAATCCAGCTGAGGGGGTGAAACAGTGTTCTCTGAATGGGATAAAGTTTCTTTCTTTCTTCCTCATGATTGAAATAACCTCTATCTGATTGCAGTACAAAAGGCTTTGTTTAAAAATGGTAACATGAAAAAGATTAATACTGTGAAACGTATCTTTCCAATATATTTATAGAGCAGAAAAGCAGTGATGAAACCTTAGTGAAAAAAAGACGGTATTAATGATTTCATTCATGTTAAGTTATCAGCTTAGGAATTTTATGTTCTCTTTATGTCTAGAAGATTGCTGTCCTGCAGACATTAGCAGCTTTCTTCCAAAACCTCATTAAAACAAAAGAAAAGACAAATAACAAATTTTATGTTGGTTTTTGTTACAAAATAGTGGGTTATGGGATTTGTTGGGGTTTTGGGGTTTTTTAAACATTTAAGTTGATGACTTGCTATAACTACCTGTTATTGTGACTGATATTGTCTCATTTCTTCTTTGCACTCCTCTTTATTGTCAACTATCCTGCCTACACCCTCAGTTTTCTGTAGTCCTCTACTGAGACAGCAAGGAGAAAGTATATTTGTATAGCCTAACCTGGCCATCCAGTGAGATCCTGTTTCAAAGTTGGTGCTTCAACAATGCAAGAATTAATTTCTGCATTTCAGAATAGACACATGACCAAGAATTTTGTAGGATATCATTAATATTTCACATTCACCCTGCATAATTTGCCACTGTGACATCTACCTTGCACTCCCATTACTGTTGTGTATGTCTGCCCAACTTTTCTTTGACAACCCTAATAGGGTCTCGCACCACTCTTAACTAGGCAATGCATGTGTCTGAACAGGCTAGGTAAATAAAAATTCAAGATGGGCAGAGCATTGAGGTAGTTACATATAGGATGGGGAGGAAAGTTAAGAGAAAATAGTGCAGGGAGGTTCATCACGGTACCTGTACAGAGCTTCATATCATTGAAGAACATTGAAAACTGCTAGTTGACAAAGAACATATTCATTCAGCTACCTTCCTTTTGTCATCTTTCACAATGACTTCAAGATCTCTCTAAGCAGATAGCAACTACAGTGATAAGATCAGACAACAGGTAGAACTGTGCTTGTTGACCTATTAGAGCTATACTGTCCTATTCCACAGGAATAGTTGAACTATGAACAGCTTGTTAGTTAACAGCAGTACTGGGCAGATGCCAAAATCAGCACTTTTCCAGTGACAGCCCAGGTCATTCAATGTTTTTGAAATCTGAGTGTCATTTTAGTTACCAAAGAATAAGCTAACTCTGGCATAAATCCAACGACAACAGTATCTGAACCCAACAGCACAGTATTCCATTAATCTTCAGGGATAAGTTTGGTTTATGGGATTATAAAAAGATTTGTTTACATTTTAGAATACATACCTGATTGCTATATTATATTGGCGAACTGAGGGTACATGATCAGTTTTCTGTTTCTTCTGTATGTGTTTGAAAGAGAGAGGTTGCCTACAGCAGGACAAAGCTGTAGCAGTTACGCCTGTTGAGCAATCCTTGTCTGTGCTTCCCCTTGACTGATAGACATTGTTTTGTATTTGTTTATAATTGCTTTTTGGAGCAATACACTGAGAATGTCCATCGGATATCTGAGTATCATTTCTCAAAACAGTTTTGTTACCAAAATCTGTTAAGACAAGAGTTGTGGTTCCAAATGCAGCTTTCCTATTGATCTTTATTTCTGTGCTTGGTTTTCTGAAATCATTACAAGGGTACTTCATTAAGTTTATGTTAAATGGTGCAGAATCTTCAACATTCTCCCTCTTTGGAACTAAGGAAAAATAAGTTATTGGTTATAATCCATCTGTGTAGAGCGATACCTCATATTTCTGATCTGTATTAGTAAGTCGTCATACATTTACCATACCATCTTGAAAGATCTCAAAACCTGTCACAGATTAGATAGAGTACCAAATTTCTTACAAAAAAAAAGCTCATGCACTTTTGGAATTACGTACAACATGTGTTTCAAGATAACAGTACTATTTCTTGAATAGGACCAGATGTGAATTGTACTCTGTAAACGAAAGCTATTGAAAAATTAACCACACAAAATTGAATTTGGCCAAATACAGGGATTAAAATATTTAAATTTTTCAAAATAACCTTTTATAACCCCAGCACTGGGAGATCACAGGGTATGGTATCTCCAGCAGCAATACATTAACCATTTTTAAAATATTGTTTTACAATTGACACAGAAAGGAACATTAATTTGTTGGGTTTTTCCAGTGCTTTCAGAGTTCATGACCTTTCTAAACATTGTGCACATCAAAACTTATTGATCTCTTACTGCAAGGGGCTTCAGAAGCAAGCAGTTCAGACATCTGCTTTGCGTTTCTTTCCTGACATGAACAACAGTATGTTTTCTTCATAGAATCAGAGGCCTGCCTAGTCGGCAATAATAATTCCAAAAGAGTGGGCATAATTTATTAATGCCAGTTTAATAAACAAGGAGTCTGTAGGTAATCTTTCCTGAGAAAAGAGTGAAAACAAAAACTTTATGGGGTCCCTATGCGCAATCTTTGTTAAGTAGCTGTGAAGCCACAGTGTTTAAG